AAACGAAGACTCCCAAAAATAAAAAGATAAAAAGAACTTTAGTTATATAGTTCCCTTTAAAAGTTGATTTAAAGTTCGTACTGCGCACTCTCGATTTTTCAAGCTTTACGTTTGTGTTATCTCGCTCCGAGAGCCCACGTTACCCTTGTCCAGAGGAACGGGAAACGTTGTCTTATGTACGAAATCACAAAGTGTAATATTTAGCAACAATGCCAACTGCCTTTATCAATGAGAAAGTTTACTGCTTCGGTCTTTCTGATATCACCAAATATCGCTAGATGAAACAGCTTTGTAGCTGTAGAAATTAAAGTAACTGTTGGAAAAAGAAGTTAAAATGCCTCAAAGACAAGCCGGGTAACTCGCGGCTCGTAATGAATAATATTGATTCCGGTTCATTCAAATGAGGCTCGCAAACATGCGAGAAGACGAGACTAACGTTTCTCTTCTTGAGCCCAAGAAATTCTGATTTTGTAAATTATGAGAACGAGTCTTCAAAGCGTTTTAAATGAGAGTGGGAGACGTTCGTATTCTAAGACGTTCAGACATCATTTATAAAAACAACAAAAATCGATATTTCGAGACAGCTTTGTGCAAAAATAAAGACCGCGAGACGCACAAGCCGTTAAAAAAGCGAGTCTCCGAGACCCACGAAAATTTAAACTGCTAGAAGGGTCCTAATAGTTCCTCTTTCGCTTAGTCCGTCGTGCGTGACGCGAAAGAAAACCGCGAGAAAAAAATACTGGGTACAAAAGTAGCTGGGTACATTATAATTACCAGATATAATGTACTTACCTTCACGTTGACTCAACCGCTGACCGGAAAGCCGTGGAAACATCTCAAAAACATCAACTCCCAGCGTCCATCGGCGTCTAAAAATTTAGTTATAAATTCATCTCAGTGAGCTGTAGTTGCGCATAGGTTCTTTATTTTGATCATGGCTTACTTTGCAAGAACTAAAACGAAGATTTCTCTTCTAGCTGGTTCCGCTGGTCGTAGTGTTCCGCTGAAGAAAAGACAAGAGCTAAGAACTCTTCCATCATTGAGCACTTTGTCGTCCAGTGTAAACAGTGGCACTTCAAAAGAGCCTATCAAGACAATATCAGATCTGCCAGGACCCATCAGCCTTCCGATCATAGGGACAGCTTGGACATTCTTCGTTGGGGCTAAAGGCCAGCCGCTTGGAAAACGAATTTTGAAAGTGCAAGAGGAACACGCCAACAAATATGGTAGAATATTCCGATCGCAAATACCCGGGGTTACCATTATTTCTCTCTCAGATCCCGCAGATGTAGCGAAAGTTTTGCGATCCGAGCCAAAATACCCTCAACGACTTCAGTTCCCTATTCTCGACTACTACCGCGAAAAACGACAAAAGATTCCTGGCGTTTTCTTTGCAGATGGCTCCGAGTGGTACAAGCATCGAAGTGTGCTAAGTAAGCGAATGCTTCGACCCAAAGAGGTAGCTGACTACGCTTCGGGCTTCAACGAAATTATCACAGATTTTATCCACAGATTGCGAACAGTTCGAGAACCTAGCGGCTCAGAGAAAGAAAACGAAGTCTGTGA